TTTTAAAATGGAATGAACCTGATAAATTTTGAATTGAATGACAAATAAATTTATTCCATTCAATGTTACTTTTATAACTGAACTAATTAGTTGACCTTGTTTTGTCTTATTTTTTTCATACTACTACTACCACCATTAGTAATACTAATACTAATACTAAATAATAATAATAATAATAATAATAATAATAACTTTTTGTTTTGAAGAGGAAGAAGAAGGAAACATACATAGATGAAGAGGAGGGTTACATGAGGAAGCATCTTGTTCCTCTTCTTTCTAAATAAGCGAATTTGTTGCTCTTTCCGCGTGTCTCCCTTCCCATACTTTTCCAGGGAATCTTTTTCCTTTATCTGTCATCATTTTTTATTTTTCCATTTCCATTTTCTCTCTAAAATTAAAATATCTACCACCTCTTCGTTATCTCTCTCTCTGACTCTGTCTCTCTTCTTCCGGAGACTCCTCACTCACACCAAAACACTGTTTCTTTCACTAATTCTCTTCACATTCTTAGTTTATCCAAAGATCCATGGACTACCATTCCACATTCCCTCGCTTCTTCATCATCTTCTTCGTTACCAGTAAGTTAATTAACTAAACCATTTTTCTTTTTACTTTTTCATCGGAATGGAAATTCACAATGCTGTTGTAATGTAGCCGTAGCACTTCCTGCAACCACCGTCGTGTCCATTGGGATAAACTACGGTCAAATCGCCAACAATCTTCCCTCACCGGACGACGCAGTGGCGTTGGTGAAATGCGTCGGAGCAACCAAGGTAAAGCTCTACGACGCAGATCCGAGGGTTCTGAAAGCGTTCGCCAACACCGGAGTGGAAGTAATGGTGGGTCTGGGTAACGAGTACTTGTCCAGAATGAAAGATCCAACCAAGGCGCAGGCATGGATCAAAACCAACCTACAACCCTACCTTCCAGCCACTAAAATCACCTCAATCTTCGTCGGGAACGAGGTTCTCACCTTCAACGACTCTTCCCTGACCTCGAACCTCCTCCCAGCCATGCAGAGCGTGCACACAGCGCTCGTCAACCTCGCCATCGACAAACAAATAACCGTCACCACCACGCACTCCCTGGCCGTGCTTCAAACCTCGTATCCTCCTTCGGCCGGAGCATTCCGTCCGGACCTGGCTCCGTGCCTGGCTCCCATCCTGAGCTTCCAAGTGAAAACCGGATCTCCCTTCCTCATCAACGCCTACCCTTACTTCGCCTACAAGGCCAACCCCAAACAGGTTCCCTTGGACTTCGTTCTCTTCCAACCCAACCAGGGGATGGTGGACCCCTCCAGTAACCTCCACTACGATAACATGCTATTCGCGCAGATCGACGCGGTGTATTCCGCGTTGGACTCTTTGGGCTACGGGAAGTTGCCGGTTCACATTTCGGAAACCGGCTGGCCTTCGAAGGGGGATGAAGACGAAGCCGGTGCGAACCTCGAGAACGCAAAGAAGTATAATGGGAATCTCATTAAGATGGCTATGAGTAACAGCAAGAAGGGCACACCGTCCAGGCCCAACTCCGATTTGAACATTTACGTTTTCGCTCTGTTTAATGAGAACATGAAGCCCGGCCCAACTTCCGAGCGCAACTATGGGCTTTTTAAGCCCGATGGGACCCCCGCGTACCCCCTCGGCTTCTCTCTGGCTTCTGCTCCAAACGACGCCGTCAATAACAGTACCGGTACTGGCACGCCGCCGCGGCCACCCACCTCCTCCACCGGATATTTGTCCATTTCCTCTGCTTCCTCTCTGGTTAGTTACACTAATTCCACTACTACTTTCTGCTTACTATAACTATTGTTATTAAGTTAAAAGTTTTGCATTAGGTTGCCAATTTGATTCCTTATTTAACTTTATTTTAATTAATTATTTGCTTCTTATAGGTCACTATCTTTTATTTTAGTTTTCGTACGTTTTAGTTTGTATTCAAACAGGTTTTGTTTTTATGTTTTGGTCTAGAATGAAAATATATTACATAAAAATAAAATGAAAAGATTTTTTTTTATAAAAAAAATAAAAAATTAGTACATAGTGGATTAAAATAAAAGGTTAATTAATGTATTAAATCAAAGGATTAGTTAAACTAAAAATTATGTAACCTAACTCTAGTTTTGGTAAGACAGAAAGTATTCTCGGGATTATCAATGAAACTGTCGATTTCGCGTAGACTAAGGTTTTTCTTTTTTCCTGAATATGATCGTGTTATCTATTTCGTTGATAATTCTAATCTAGAGGCTGAAAATATATACAAGTTAATTTCTTTACTAATATTTATGAGATAATTGTGAGTGGACAAGGCTTTTATATCGATAATGAATAAAAAGTTGTATATGCAATAATTAAATGCTATAAAAATAAAAATTATACAGTTAATTTATCGTTTCTTTATCGAACTTATCTTATGTTTGATATGTGATTGGAATAAAAATATAATTATTTTGAAGTTATGTCCTGGATGTTTATAAATCCATAACTGGGTTCAGGTGTATACATTTTTAGATGAAGTCACACGATTGCATCGTTTTCTTTTTATTCTTTGTTTGCATATTTTTAAGAATATTTTATAATTGTAAGGATACACTATAATAATATTTTACTGACACTTCTTTATTTTTGAACTTTTCAACTAACTAGTTAGTTTTTACTGACAATATAGCCGTTACTGTAATAACGTTGATGTTTGTTTGGGTTTGGGACAGGAGAGATGTTGTTCAGTTTCGTTTTGGTTTTTGGTGACGGTGCTGATTTTGAAGTTTTGAGGATATTTCGGCGCAGAATGGAGAGAGAGAGAGGGTCGTGGCGATGGGGAGAAGAGCAAAGGCAGAGTGAGGAGGGAGCAAAGGTAAAGAAAAAATTATTAATACATTTATTATTTTATTTTTTTCACTTTACTTGTCCCATACTGTTGGAATTATTGTCGCACTCCCCCATAAAGAGATAAAGACCATTCTGTCCATTCAAATTTTAAAATTTGTCATTGAAGTTTGGGTGGTGACTAAATTTGATTTTAAATAAAAACTTATGAAATAATCAAGATAATTTTTTTAAGTTTTTGACAGTATAATTTTAAAAAATAATTATTTAACACATCTAAATTTTTTATATTTATTTAACACTAAATATTTATATTTATATTTTATATATTTTTTTAAAAAGTATAAAAATTTACATTTTTATAATCATATATTTTGTATTAAATAAAAATAAATAAAAAATTGTGTCATAGTATTATTATTGAGTTGGCCTAATATTAAGATTGGATTAGGTTAGCATTAAGTAGTAGTAGGTGTGGGATTAATTTGTTGCATAAGTTTGTTGGTAACATAAGTATTATTGGAAGCTTATTGAGAGAAAAAAAAGACGTGTGAAAAAGGTTGTAGTTAGGAAACAGACAGAATGAGCATCATCAGCATTAGGCACTTTTTTGTTGGCAGCATAAATAAAGAAAGTTAAGCCTTTTTGGTTGTGTGTGTTTCAATTTTGCAGGGAGTAGACGTGATGTTTAGGAAGGATGGAAAGTTAGCTGTGGACTTCACTAGCCATGTCTTGTCACTCCCCAACCCCGGGGACTAATTTATTATTATTATTTATTATTATTACATTAAATTAGGAATACATGCAATTTGATTGGTATTTTTGTCGGACATTCTTTCATAATAAATATGTTTTGTAGTGTATTCAACTCTATTACTCGTCCACCTCCTCCTCCTCTCCCACTCCTATGCAAATTTTATTTTGGTGTACAATTATTTCAATTCCTTAAATAAAATATAAGAACAATACAGCTTTTGATGGAACAAAAGGTAAGCTATTACGCTCCACTTCACCGAAAGAAAGAAAAATAAATAAAGAGAACGAAAAAAAAAGTAACAAACAAATGAAAAAATAGATTGTTTGACTGAAAAAAAGAATGTAAAGCAGAAGATAAGTTCTTTTGTTATTAATACTTTTATGTATTATTATTTATTACTTTTTAATTATTTATTGTGAAGAGTGAAATAATAGACCGGATTATTATGAATATTTTCAGAACTGATGTACATAAAAATACTTAAAAACACGGCACTTTTTTCCTTTCTCACCACGTCCGTGTGGAAATAACTAATCGAGCCCACAAACTATTTTCAAAAAATCTTTCCAGATTAGCTCAAATAAACCACAATTATCCTATTTATTAACATTCGCAGTTGTCACAAACCCTAAAGTTGGAGTGAGGCAATCTCAAAAGGAAAAAATACGAATCTAGATTTTCTTTTGATTCACTTTGATATATTTTTTTACATTATAGTTCCTTCTTTAAACAATAAATTGTCAATTTTCTCTTTATAATTGGTATGCTTACAATTACAATAAATCTTGTATTTATAAAATTTGAAATTATAAAGGATTGTATTTCTTTTTCTGAATTTTTTTATGTCACGAGCATTAGCCCGTAGAACCACAAACCTCATGGCAAGATAGACCAATTAACAGCCCAAGGAAATACTTTTATCAATACAAGAACCAAATGAAACAAGATAAGACATATTTTACATTAAAATAGTTCTTTTATATTTAAAAAATAAGTAAAATAAGAAACATTAAATTTATCACTTCATTCCTCAGTTTAAAATTATCGGTGTAGGCTGTTTATTAAAACGGTTTGTCACAAACTCCTTTCCACACTAAAATCTGGTTGCAGAAACGATGTTGCCTACAGGTGCGGGCAGCATAGAAACAGACTTTGTTTTGGAGAAACATACAAAAGCAATAAATAAGAACGTAGACAAACGACTATTTAAAAAATAAATAAATAAATAAATATAATGAGGTGGTGTTCATCTCTTCCACGTGACACAGGGTACTAGAATCCTAACAACATTACGAGGGAAGGAGGGCACCATTGGTTTCTTTCACAAACACATTCGCCGCCCAAGGCACACGATGCGAATGCATACAATACAACATTCAAACAGCAATTATGATGAATTCAATATGATCATCTTTTTCAACCTCCGATGAAATAAAATAACAAATAGATCATAGGCTGCCAAAATTTCCCTATCAAAAAATGATATCATTCATGTAGTGATTTGAACTGATACTACCAATGATATCAAATGTTCTGTCTCATCTAAAACATTGTTGTTTAATAGCTAGCTGTTATGCCAAGGTAACATTCTGTTTGGCATTTTACGTAGCAGTTTTGCACTGCTAAGTAACTATTCAGGACATCAGCTCTGTTTCGTGCTAACTGCTAAAAAGCATACAAGCCAGGCATCAACCAACAAAACGCCCCATCATGCTCTACACTCTATGAACCTGAGATGTCTCTCCATCCATCTGGCCTTTAGTTCTAACTCTTTGATAGAACAACACGTATGCAGCAGAGGATTTAATTTCGGCTTCAGTAGCAGTAGTGACATGACTATCATCGAAATGACACCATTTATTGTCTTCGATCAACTGTTAAAAATTGGAAGAACAATTGAACAATGGATTTAAAACAAACGTCTCAAACAGCAGAATGAATTCACAAATTTAGCAGGTGCATGTTATTAACATACCTTGCAATAAGCAGTGTAATGACCACCACCTAGACCACCGTAATGGTTGCTGATTGCATACAGGTCATACACATACGACTGTCCATCTTTGCTTTTCACATACTTGGTTAAATCAAGATTGTGAATGGGAAAATTCACGAAAGTGTCAAGTTTGTTTTTCAGGTATCTACTGTATGAAAATCGTTTTAAGTGAAAGACAAGAATCTCGGGCAACTTCCACAAGTCAAGCTTCTTTGTAGCTTGCCTGTGTTCCTTGCATCTAGGGCAGTACCTAATTAATTTGAAAAGGGAAAAAAATAATTAAAGCGGAAATATCCCTCAAAGCAAAGCTCACGGTAGTACAGTATGAATCCTTTTCAAAAACACGAAGCAAATCTTACCACATGTCATCTGGTCCCAGAGGTTCTTCCGTCAAGAATGCCTCCAAGCAAGAAAACAAAGAAATAGCTTCTTGCCTGGTTTTCTTCGAAGTGAATCCAGTTTTGTGAACTTCCGGGAGATCCTTCAGATAGTTAGAATCATACAATTCATTTTCTCTCTCAGTCCAATCAAGATAAACTCTTATAAGTTTGGTGGGCTTTATAAAAGAAGCCTTCCCAATGGGTTCAGAACTTTCGGTAGTTAAAAGAAGTTGGAAAGATGACTCCCCGCATGATGTTCCCGCTTGTTCTTTGCTTCCAATTGTTAGACTATGTGATTCGCTGTGAGTATTGGAGATGATTGGTTGCTCATCACTGCCAACTGAGACGAAACCATTTTCCTTACCATCATGAGACTTGGTTGAAGAATATGCTCTTCTTAAAGGTGCCAACAATTGACGTACAGAAGCCTCAATGTTGGCTCCAAATTGAGGATCTTCAGCCAAATAAGTAACCAATGGGGTTCCGAAGGACTTCCTTTCTCCACCCTTCATACTGTCCAATGAACATCAAGGTAATTCAAAAAATCAAATCAAACAGTAATAAAGTAATTGAAATATAATCATAGTTGTCTAATTCAGTGAACCAAGAACAACTTGGTGAAATGTCTATAAGCAGTTGAGGAATCATGCTATGGCAGATTGCCTACGCTAAGCCACAAATGGTTATTTATACCATCCTAACTCCTATTATAAGATAGTGGTGATATCCTGAGTAATAATTACCAACTTGAATGGTACCTGCAAGACTCCATAGTACTTAAATCACCCAATAATGGACAAAATAGAAAAAAAAAAAAAACACCACAAAATATAAAGGAAATGAATACATCCAGAGACAGTTGACATTAATCACCATTAAAAATCTATGGATTACTCATTCCCATCTCTGGAAGAGATTAACAGATTAATGAAAATTGTGGTGTAACCAATCAATTACTTCCAAGGGGAAAAATCTATTTACGCACTTTTTTTGCAAAATTGTAACAGAACGAGCTACCAACAATATTACTTTCAGTTAAAAGGGAACCCTAAGAATAAATTGACCAAAAAGTTAGGAAATGTCTGGAAAGATGATTGCAAAAATTCTATCAAATTGGAAATGGATGGATGTATAGTTGCTTCCATTGAAGACTTTTAAATTTAAATACATTTTGTTTGAATAAAACAATTCAAATTCCTTGTATTTTATTCTTTGTCTTGATAAAGTTATATAATTCACATCATATGTAAAATTTCATTTTTAAAATTTATTTTTTAAAAGTCCTCTAAAGGAGAAATGGAGAGGGAGAAGGGAAGTAGAAAGAGTGGTGTGGAAGAAAGAGAGTACATATGTGCAGGAAAGAAAGGGGAGAGGGATACAGAGACGAGCATAAGAAACTAAAGGAGAGTGTGGGTGAGGTGCAGAAAAGAAATGGACAGAGGCAAAAGAGAAAAAGGGAAATGAGAGAGATAACCACAGGAGAGGTTGGGGTAGAGAGCTGCAGAAGAGAGACTTAAGAAATGAGGGAGAGAAGAATCCCAGAAGAGAAGAATAGGACAAAGATGGGGAAGCGTACAGTAAAGAAAGAGGGCGAATCAAAACTTTGAGATGGATAAGTTGATACTGACGTTATTTGAAGTCCCTACAATTTACTTTTGAAAAATTCCCATCAATTTCAAAAATGCTTAAGCTTTCGGTATCCATTCTAGTCTTTGGTATGTGAGATTTTAAATCCACTTAAGAGAATTCCTCTCTAAAAACTTCACATCAAACCCTAATAACCATCCTAATTTAAATGTGTTTTTCTAATTGTTTATTTTTTTTGGACGGGTGGGTCTATAAAAAAATGTATTATTCCAATTAGTTGAAATTTAGATATAATAAAAAAAATACGTAATTAATAAATATTATATATATATATATATATATATATAATATATATATTATATATATATTATATATAATATATATATATATATAATCATATCATTATATATATATATATATATATATATATATATATAATCTTTAAATAACATTGCAAGATTAACCAGAAAATTCTACTAGACCAATTAAAAACATATATAAAAGCTAAACAAAATCCCTAGCATAAATAGAAGCTCAACATCAGACTAATAGTTCTGCATTTGCTGCCCGACGAAGTAAAACAACTTCACTTCACAACTACCAAATGATAAATATCATTTTTAATTAAGAAACTTATATAATAGATGGCAAATCTTATAATTCATAACTCAATTAGACACAAAATCACAAAAGTTTAAAAAAACTCATTTTGTATTTTTATTAAACAGTTGGTGTACAACAAGAAATTAACATAGAGTATATACAATTGTAAAAACTAGATTTTATTATCATACATTCATAAATATCCCAATTTCAATTTCAAGTAAAAACCAACTCACAAGTTTACTCAAATCTTATTTCTAGTTACTTTGAGTGTATGATAATTCATCAAAGTTCAATCCCTTAGATCATCAACAACAAACCATACATTAAGTTCAAGAGTCTTAAGATTACTAATGAATCATGTTTTATCCCTAGATACAAACTTAATTAGATATTTATTTCAATTTCAGGTTCAAAAGACATTTTTCAGTACCTCAAAAACCACTATGAAGCTGATCAAGCCACAACAAACATTAATCATAGAAATCATATATTAACAGAGAAATGGAAAAACATATGTATTAACACCACAAAAATACACCAGAAATCAATTTATTACATTTATTCTCAACAATAGGTTTAACTTTCCATGGTGAAGAACCTAATGTTTACAAATTGAAAAGATAGAGAAAAAAATGAAACCATAAAGTAAGATGAAGATATTTTTTTCAAGGCACATAACACTTAAATCATGCCTCTCCTTCACATTTCCACCTCCAACAACTCATCTTCCTCTTCAACCCCAAAAGGGGAAACCACTATGGATGAATGAGGAGACCCAATGAGGAGAGCTAAAGCTTCCTAGCACTCTTAACAACTTTCAAAGGCCTCTCCAAGCACCCTAAGTAAAGTCTCTTTCATGAAAAAGGAGGAATCCTTCCAAACCCTCGTGGCGAACATGATTTAATATTCAATTTTGACAGCTTAGCATCGTCATTGCTCGACACCATCTCAACAGTGTTGGGTGCCACCGAATAAAACACGAAACAATAACCTCGACCAGACCATCACCTAGTGCAAATTTAACATTGCCTAATGCCAACTCAGCAAGAACCAGATGGCACCCAACATAATTTTTCACAACCAAAAGATGGTTCTCCAAAAGCTGGTGGCACTTAACACCAGGTTTGGTCGTGCAACGGTAGCCTATGCTAGGGTCAGTGGCGCTTAGTGTCCCAATTATGCTACCTAACATCAAACAACTCTACAGTTGGGTTTGTTCTCTAACCTTACAATGTTACGCGATTTCAGTGACACTCGATGCAGGTATTTGCCTAGAAATCATTTTTTAATGTCCATTCATGTTTTTTTGAAGCCTAGCACGTTATCCTCCACCATAATTATTTTCTATTCACTTATTTCAAAACATTCAAAGCAATATTAGAGGTGAAACAAAAACAATATAACTAAAACATAGCAAATCATATAAACAAGACAAATTTAAGAGTTAAATAAGATGAAAATTAGGAAAAAATTGATTTTATTCACAAAACTTAATAATAGAAAATAACATTATTCTCATTTACCTTTTTTTTTCATAACAATTATGTTAATATAAACGCCCTTTTCAATTTTTGTTTTGTTTTTTTAATTAGTACTTTTTTTTAATACATATTGGCCTTGTAGCTTTTTCAAAGATGAGAAATTAAGATACATTTCTTCAAAATATTTTTTGTGTGTCTCTTTTGATTTGTTGTTCTATTAAAAATTGTTTTATATTGTTTGACTTAACCAAAAATTTTGTTTAGTTTTGACAATTATGCACCAACCATTCTAGCCGTACTAACCTTTAGTTACATTGCATTCCTTTAAGGGCAAGCCAAAGAAATGAAAAGACTATTTTACAAAACTACAGTTTGTTCATATCCGTGAATAAGTTGGAGTAAAAAAAAGGACTAGAGTCTTCTCTTTCTTACTTCATAATATATAATAAGTTGCACCTAATTAGGTTTAGTAATGATACATTAGATGTAGCATTAGATTCCATGCTTGTGGTCCCAAAGATTTGACCCTCGCACCTTTTCTCATAACCCAAAGCAAAAACACTATTGATGATTCCAAATGGTTCCATAACTCTCATACAACATCTACATGTAAAAACAAAATTGTAAGTCACATATAGTTTTTTTGTTTCTTAACATCATAAATATTCAATCAACTTTTGTTTTTGACTAACTTTCCACCATTAATGCATCCCATAAAGTACAATTGCAAAGAAATAAAAATTGCACTTACTTTTTCTTTTTATGCGAGTAATATTTAATTATAACCTGCTGTTGTGTATATTTTTTTTTTCTAAACACATTTTTTCCATCTACATGGACTAGATATTAATCTTTTACATTTGAGCAAAATTAGAAAAAAAAATCTTAAAATGACGTGGAGGAAAATAAATCCACACAAGTTAAACTAAAAAGATGATAAAATGACTTTATATTCATTAATTATGAAAAACATGGTTAACATTAATTGAAGTGTGATGCCATTTTGTCTTGTGGAGGCATGAATGGGACAATAAATCACCGTGGAAGTTTGCGGGAGGAAAAAGAGACGTGGGCCCAAGTGGGCTATTTGTAGGCCCAAGTGCTCCTCACATGTTGCCCGCACCCAAAATTAACCTTCATGCCTCATACCTATAAATAGCACGTAGAAGCAAAGTTGTTTTCTACATAGAAGTTTTTATTAAAAAAACCTTAAATGCCACGTCAGTTTATTTTGAATACGAAGAAAATGTATGAGTGAAAGATATTTAACTTATTCTTATAAAATCAGATTATAAGATAAAACTTACATTAATTTATATGTGTAAATTGATTTCATTTTTATTTAATATATTTTATGAATTGAATGTGTAACACTAATTAATCAATGATAGAATAGGTAGATGATTCTAAATATTTTGTAATAAATCCAAGTATAATTTGATATTTTGTTTTTGCTTTAACTAAATAAACAGTGTTTTAGTTTAAGGGGTCGAGATTAAGTTCATTATCAAATCGTTCTCCAAACTTTAAGTTTGTGTTAAGGTTTTTTCTTTATTTTGTACTAGTTGTAGTTATGTCAAAATGAAATATTATTTGTAAATATGTTTCGATGTTAAAGTTGGGAAATGTTCAACCATAATAGGTATAAATGTGCAATCAATGTCATAAACTATCTAAATACTATAAACTTGTATTTATAAATTTTTAATAAGTTTTTTATTAGTGCTAACCTAATTACAACCTAAATAATAATGATTTAATTTATTATTAATATAATTATCTTCAACGATAATTATATTTTCAGTCTGTTTGATTTTTGGCTAATTTTTATAAGACTTTGTAGATTAGTTGAGCGTTTGATTTTTAAACTGACCAAACGATAATACAAAGATTTGATTTTTCTTAATAAATAATCAAACATAATTATTTAAAATAAGATTTAGCACCGAAAGAAGATGTTGGAACTGCATACGCAGAAAGAAGCATAGTATTACAATGGATGTTTTTGTTTGACATTTGCTTGAACATGAAATGATGTTTGGTTGTGAATTCCAACGAGACATATAACTCGAGATGATGAATGAAGGCAAAACAAAAAAAAAA